TGTTTCCTCAACAGGCTTCTAGTGACCAAATGGAGTTTGCTCTCCGTGCAAAGACTAGTCCCATGTTGCTATTAAGACATGTTTTAAGGATTTTACATACTTTGCAATGACCATTTTATGATCTTGCATGAGGGACATCGGAGAAAACATCGGAAACGCCTCCCTTTGGACTCTGGACTCCGCCTCCAACTCCAGGTCTGAACCGCTCGCTGAGGGCGTCCTCCAGGCGACGATGTCTGGGCGCTCCTCCTCAACGCGTTGAGGGCGCCTTTCGGGTTCCTCAACGCCGTTTGGGGACATGTTGTTGTGCTTCATGGACTGCCAGCTTCATGGAACATGGAACGCCCAAACTTGCTAGAGTATGAGTAGGAGTATGTATGAATCGATCGTGAAGGTCCGCGCGCCAACTTGGCCGAACTTGTTCGTGACACCCAAACATTGATCACTTGCGACATGTGCAGCAAATCTTCGTAATTATTACTTTTCATTAGAGTACTCGAAGGAGTTGCTAGCATTTCAACCCGATGGAGTCGCATGGCCACCACATTCAGGAATCCTCGTGAAGCTTCGCAAGGATCCAGAGGCAAATTGCTGAACAGATGAAGCAATATTTAAAGATGCAGATATATTTATTGCTCAAAAAATGTCGGTGCATTTTGAATAGCCAGCGGCCAGATTCTGCCAGAGGCAGAGGGAAAGAAGCCTTGCGATTAAATGGGTGCCCTGGCCCTGGCGTAGCTGAAGCAATTTCAGCTTGACTAGTGACAACATGTTGTTTTGACCGGGGGTTTGCCCAGCACTTCATCCCTAGATCCTAGAGTCCCCACAGTCACCCTCCGTAAGTGCTGTTTGCTTCGTTGATATGTGCGCCGCCCCCCCCCAAAGGTCAACCACCGTGCCATGCATATGGGGTCCTTCTCACTTTTGGGGAGCCCATGGTCGAGTGCGTTCGGTTGCGGTGTCACTGCAAGTGTCTTTGCCAATTGCACTTTGGTCGTCAGTATATATATATATTATATATAAATAATGAATTTGGATATGTTAGACCACATATTCAATGTTATCCATCGGCTCTGTAGGGGAAAGGGGTTCCAAGAATGATACCGATGCGGTCGGTGGAAGACACATTTCCATCACCTTTGTAGATATGGCTGAAGACGCAGCCCAATAGTGGATACGCCAGTTCGGATACGCACGTTTCGACCCACAGTGTGTTCAGTAATGTCACAAAACCGTTGCAAAGCACATGCAGTTCTGTCTGTCGAAACGTTTCTTCAGATTCAAGGCGGCCCCCCCACGGGCAACCCAACATGTTGTCGTTGTGCTTCCCCCCCACGGGCAATCCAACATGTTGTCGTTGTGCTTTGGGAAGGGAAATCTTACTTGTGGACCAGCGACTAGGAGAAGATAGAGGGTGGCACAGTTTTAGATAGCCATTTGACATCCTAACACAAAGTTTTATGTTAGCGCCTTTTTCTAGTTGGTATTAGTATTAGTTGGTTGTTTTCGTATTTTTTTTACACTTAAAGTCTATGTAAGCATGTTTCAATCCTTGGCTTCGCCGAGTCTATTTTTTGTATATACGGAAAATGCCGGAGAAGGTTGTATTTTTTCAAATCTAAGACCTTAGAACCGATTGACTTTATTTCGATGTGGGCTGTCAATATAGGAATCTGCCTATTCTGGATTATCCTTTGCAAAACTTCCGAAGAGATAGTCTGGTAGTTGATTGAACGGTCGACATAAGTTAAGGCCTATGTCATCAAGAGCCTCTTTATGTTGCTCGCGAAAACTTTAATGTATATGTTTTCGAGTTCGCGGAAGTCATGTTTTTTCCGCGAAAGATCCACGCAACATACTGTACTATCTTACTCGACAGTATGTTAAGACTATTTACTTTGTACTTCCTTCACTCAGGAGGAGCTTTGAACACACACACAAAGTTACTATATATAAGATGTAATATATACAGTATATATTCCTTTGCACATTGCATGGCTCACACTTACCATGCAGAATCCCTACAGGCTGAAACCACTAATGACGCGACATGTTTAAGCAAAAGTTTCGCGAAAACATTGGTGAACGTGAAAGCCTGTTTTGTGGACCACTGCCCACATTTAGCCAGGGACTGATTCCACAATATATAGGGGCGTGCCGTAGCCTATGTCAGTGTTCTCCAAACTAAGCAGAGAAAGGCCTAGCAAGACATGAGCATGACAACAGGATGACAACAGCTTCTAGTAATGTTTCACACGGAAGAGCAATGAAGTGTTTGCAATCCTTTTTGTGCGCTGCTTGACAAGGTAGATGCGCGGAGCCATCCAGCCCAGCCAGAAAGTTTTAGAAAGGAATTCATGTGAAACATGTTCAAAGACTGTCTTTAATTGTTTTGATCAGGGCTGTTGACGTTTTATCCTGGCGGAGCCCTTCTTCTAACCAAGGCCCCCAAACCACAGTCTACCAAAAGAATACACAGGTGGCTGAGAAGTCACCACTCGTACAGCAGAAACCGCCTCACACAAACACTATGTCATTGCCTGCCAGCCCACCAAAGAACCTGCTATGATGTTGCAGTGTATGGGTTGTCAGGGTCAGGAGGAAGAGGGGGCTACCATTGTCTAACATCAGGATTTCATTTTCCTCAAGTGGTTCCCTGCTGGATCTATCAACAGATTAGTCAGATTGTCAGATATATGTTCAGCGGGCGTTGGACACATCCATTCTGAAGTGGGGCAACAAGTCAACAAGACACAACGAAAGATGAAGTTCGGTATGCTGCATGATGGCAGCCGTGTGTGAACGGCTGCGCGTAAGCGTATACATTATGCCCACCGTCTCCACCCCATGAACACAGTGTTGTGCCTAGGTAGCTAAGCCGGGCCCCGGTTAGCGTCGTAGGCTCGAAGCGTAGTACGCTAGTGTTTTTTGTTTTCATAGGCGGTTTGATATTTAGATTGAGTCTATGCAAACATGTTTATGGACCCTTGATTCCACTGAAAGTATGTTAAAATTAAACAAAATGCTGGAGAACATGTTTGACATAGAACATGTTTTTCAAAACTAAGGACCAGGAACCTTGGCGCCTATCGATGTTATTTTCGATTTACTGTCAATACCGATCAACTCTTGATTATCCCTTGCGGAGAGAAAATTAAGGAAGGACGTGTCAAACAAATTGAAACAATTAAGATTCATTCTCGTGAAGTCTATGCAAATCATGTCGTGGTTGGAGATTGGGGGTTGCAGATCTTTTACCTATAATTGGTGCATGGCACCAAATCAGCTCCTCCAAGAACCATCCAGCCCAGCCAGAAAGTTGTACAAGGAAATTCACATCAACCGTTTTACATATATGGTATGGTATGGGTCGGATTTTTTTTTGTGGTTTCGGTTGGGGTTGTTGACTTTCTATCTCAGTGGAACGCTCCTTCAAACCAAAGCCCTCAAATTTCAGCCCTCCACAAAGTGCAGGTGGTCGCGAAATCATCACCCATGTTTGGTCCCAGTGGGACTCTCGGTAAAACCAAAGACTCCCCAAACCGCAACCCTCTACAAAAATGCAGGTTCTTTAGACATCATCACCCCCACGAGCAGCCCCGTGCAAAACACCATGTCACAGCCAGCCAACCCACCAAAGAACCTGCCCATGATTCTTCGGTGTTTGGGGGTGTTTATGGTCGGGGTCAGGGTGAAGAAGACCTTGGGGTGGATACCACCGTCTAGCATTCAACAACTAATTCTTGTTTTGGGATTTGACATTTCAGTTTCCTCAAGTAACCCACTCCTGTATCTACCAATAACTTATATAATCAGATTATGCATTTTCAGCCACGTTTCAGCGTTGGACCCAATTGTTTTATTCTAAAATGGGCTGGTGACCCCCCTGTTTAATGTTTTCAGAGGTCTGAGGCCTCTCTTGGCTCCCAACCGCTATGTTTTTGCTTAATAGCATTGTTTTGTTTCGACAGGAGGGTTTTCACTTTGTTTCAGTGCAAGATTTGGGTACAAGTTGTTTCGCTGCTTTCCTCAATGTCTCCAGCATTTCTTCCAAGCCACAGGTACGTGGTTCAGGAACCCCTCGGGGCTTTGAGGGTGGAAGTGGTTCAGATTTTGTCTGCAGGGTCCTTGGAGATTGGGTAAGCCCAGCAACTTGCCTGGACTGTTATATAAGTCATTTGTGCTTGCGACCTCATGAGTTTGCTGGTCAACAAGGGAAGGAACTTCAACAGATCTGAAGCATGAACAGCATCAACGTACTACACACATCCGCATCCAAAACACATGGATTTCTATGAACGAGAGGGTCCAAGGCAAGAAATGAATGAAAGCCCGCTGTGAGGCTCTTTCGCGTTTGGCGCCTGAGCGTTTCCTGCCACTGGTGAAGCCACAGGAGCGAATGACAAGATGACCTTGACCACTTGACCACTATCCATCATATTGGCAGACAACGAACATCCCTAGACTTACCTTGTCTCAACAGGTGCGGTGTCATTTCACTAGTCACTTTTTATCACTAACTACGTATATATCCCTATTGGATATGGCAAGCAGTTCTCTAGCTTTCGACTTTTGCGCAACATTCAAAGAGGGATATGCTTTGATGCTAGGACCGTCAACTTCAGTCTTGGGAAACGTGAATTGAATGCAATGTTGTCAAACACCCGACTTCAGCGCTTCTCTTTTGACTTTGAAGCATTTGTTGTCAAAGTGCCGAAAAGGGGACAAGAATTTGGTTCATGTTTGTTTTTTCCTGTCCTGTTGCAGGTATGGAGCGCTCTTGCCAAATGGTTCTTCATTTACAGATGCAATCATATTTTTCAGGCGTGCCCATCTTTCGCAGCCTTTTAAAAGTAGTCGCAGTGCCAATCTTTCGCAATAGTTCCTGTACTTGAGGGAACTGAGATAAAAGCATTTTCTTTGGAACCTTTCTGCTGCAGCCTTTTTTCTCATTTTCGTGCGCCGTACGTTTCGGTGCACCGTTCGCTTCGGATTCGCCCATGCATCCGAACCTTTTCCGCACAGCCGTGCTGAACTCCTCAGAGCGGCTGCCTCTCACCGAGCTCGGCCAGGAAGCAGCAACAGCCTTGAAAGCTGCAGCACAAAGTGTTTGCGTCTTTGAGAGCACCACAGCTGGCCTGGTCCAAGCAGCTCTTCAAGCTGCTCCTGGAGCCTCTGCCTTTACTACTTGTGGTGCTGTTACTTATAGCAAGCAAAAGGCTTGGGCGGTCTTAGGGCCCGAAACGCTTTCGGCGCCAAGACCAGCCAACGGCGAAGCCTACAAGGAGTCCAAGAGGACCTGGACACAAACCATTGCAAAGCTCAAACGCCGAGAGGTAGGTGCCACGTGGTGTCTTTGCGAGAGCGGCGCATGTGGACCTAGCTTCACTTTCCCGGAGATCTCCAAGGGATTCACGGCGATTTTTGTGTCCGGGCCAGTGGAGCGCGGAGTATTTGTGGAGTCCAGCCACAATGATCGAGAAGCCAACATGTGGGGCTTTGCCAAATTGGCTCTCGATTTGCTCGCAGAATGTGTCAATGAGGCCAAAGGACAAGAAACCTGCCAGGAGCCGGAAGACCGCCTACTAGTCGCCAGAGAGGATCGTTATGGTGGAGTGGAGCTCCTTGCCCGCCCAGGGCCAGTTGGAATTTTTGATGCTGAACTGCGGCAAGGTATCAAGGAGTGGAAGGAGGCAGGAAAGAGGGGCCTTTGGCTAAAGATTCCCACTGAGGCAGCAGCTTGTGTGGGTCCGGCCGTGGCACAGGGCTTCCGCTTTCACCATGCCCGAGAGGAATATGCGATGCTCACACAGTGGCTGGAGAGTTCACCAAGCCCTTTGCCCAAGTATGGGTTTACTCAGGTCGGGGTTGGAGGTGTTGTGTTGAACAGCCAAGGTGAAGTGTTAATGGTCCAAGAGAAGGTCTCACCACTGCCTCAATTTCAAGGTAGCTGGAAGTTGCCAGGTGGTTTGGCCGACCCAGGCGAGGATTTTGCAGAGACGGTTCTGCGAGAGGTGCAAGAGGAAACTGGGATCACTGGAGATCTTGTGGGTTTGGTGAGCCTACAACACTCCCACGGCTACCGCTTCGGACAAGACGATCTCTACGTCCTTGTAAAGCTCAAAGCCAAGAATGAGTCCATTCGCATCGACCCAGCAGAGTTGAGCGATGCCAGATGGATGAGCGAAGAAGAAATCAAGACACTGGTGGCTGACTCTACGGATGCCTCCCGCAGCTTGGATGGCAAGGTTTCTGAGAACAACTGGAAAGTTATTCAGAACGCTCTTCATGGGTCATTGATTGAAGGCAGCCCCTTACCCAATTCACGGGGTGGAAAGATGTCGATGCTTTACACTGCCAGATGATGAGAAAAATGTGCTGTGGCTGTAAGCTGCTGCCCTCACAGACAAGTGGGATTTGTTGGGTCTGGGTGTCGTTGGTCAAGGTTGCTGGTCCTGTACTGTACGTGGTTGATATTGTCCGTTTGAAGATCTGTAGTCTCACATAGCTGCACACATACAATTTGCTAGGATTGATGATTGATAGTTGCTGGCCCAATGGCATTTGCTTCCTCGGTCCGCAAGCGTCTAGGCGGCTTGCGGCAAGCTTTGGGTCGAAGTCATCCACTTCGGGAGTGCCTTGGACGCAGTGTTGATCCGGCGGTGTCGCTTGGGCGGATCGGTTGTCGGGACCCAGCCCGACCAACAAATACCGACCGAACATGGTGTCAACGGTGTGGGCCCCGTTCTTGCACATTTGCATTGCCTTTGATGAACATGGGCATTTCGGGGTTTCGGGGTTGCATATATAAATACTGATCTTATGATATTTTAAAATATATGTCTTTTTTCCTTCCGACTGGTCAAGTCTATTGAGGGGGTCCACACATTTTCGGCGTTTTGGCCACAACGGCATACCAGCTTTTGAGCACGGCAAAGATGAACAATGCACTTCATGAAACAAAGATGACGTTCAAACCAGGATCACGCGTTCCTTTGCAAAAAATCACATGTTCATGAAACAAAGATGAACATGAAGTGCATGAAACGAAGACGAACACGACATTCATGAAACGAAGATCTGTTGACGTTGATGATCCAACCAAACATCATTGCCCTCTGCCCAACTCAACATCAATCAACATCAACAGAATGTCCAAACGCAGGGGCCCATAACACATCATAACACTGTCGACACATAAAGGCAGCTGAGATTTGTCTTTGTCTTTCTCTGCTGAATAAATCTCACCGGATGGATGTTCGGACGTAGTTCGGAAGTCGAGATGATGTTTATCGCTTTGACTGTGCGGAGGCATGCACACTGTATGCATTATGCAACGAGACATGCATTCCACCAAAGCATGGCAGAGGCAAAAAGATAGGACCGGAAGAATGCTTGCTGGCTGTGCACTTGCACGATGCCTTTGGTCGATCTCTCAATCACCAAAGTCTTAGCTTTTCAGGCCCGCAGTTGCAGTACAACATCTTCATGCACCTGAGACTTTTCTCAGGCGCCTTGAACCTCTTCAGTGCTTCAAGTAGTTCATTCCGCTCACCATGGAGTTCACTCGCCTTTTTCGTGTCTTCCAACGGCCGAAGTGCAGCTGATGATGCCAGGTCTTTGCGACGCTGTCCTCACAGAGGGCACAAATCCTAGGGTGCGCCACCCAAGTTCAGGGTTCCAGGGGGAAGGGGTTCCGGGCACTCAGTGGAGCTACTAGTAGCTTCTTGTTCCTAGTAGCGATGCCAAGAGCCTCTAGTAGCGTCATTGCTCCTAGCAGAAAGGCCAGGAGCCCCTAGTAGCGTCCTTGCTCCTCAGTGGGTGATGATACAGAGCTGGCCTCATTGTACGATTCTCCTGTAGATTTTCCATTACATTCCATTACCAAACCTCTTGTATTCAGTGAGCATGATAAGCTTTCATGTCTCTGGAGTGTGACTCAAAGCCATTCAAGACTGAAAAGCCAGTAGACTCAGTAAACCCTTGGTTGGATGGGGCTCATCTAGGAAGCTGAAACAAAGCAATTGACCTTTGGCAGGATCGATGGCATGATTTGGCTCGAAAGGCCAATTGCCGGAACGCCCAGTGAGTGAACGTCGACAGTTTCAGCTTCACGGACCAAAACGGTCCCAACATGTTACAAGTGCGTAGAACTCTTGGGTTGATTTCCTTTGATTTCTTTTTGATTCTTTTGTTTCCTGTTTCTTTAATTTTGTTCAGCTGCGCTAGTTCTTTGTGCCCAACGCCAGAACTGCTTTGCCACAAAGCAGTTGAAGTGAAGCAATGATGCCTCATTTACAAAGACTGCAAGCTTGCACATATACATTCTAAAGCCAAAGCAAGAAGCCCTTACCCTTCAATTATCAGGCCCCCCAACATCGCCCAAACAGAATGCATGAGTGACATTGAGTGACACTACTTTTGATTGTGTACGTCACTTTCAGCTTTTTTACATGGTCCTATCCGGTTGAAAGAACCTTGAACTTGAACTTAGTCTAGTGCTGCCACATAATTTGCGAGGTCGATATAGAGTTAGTTAGGGATGTTGGGCAAAGCTGCTCAGCAGCAACAAATCAATGTGTTTGTTTACTGGAAGGCGAGTAGCTTTACTTGCCCCCATGTCAGCTTGAAACAATGCTACTCGAATCACTTGCAAAAAAGAGGATGTGATCATGTCGCTATGTTTAGAATTGGATGTATATGTATGTAATATATATATATATATAATATATATATACCTGGACCAAGCAGCATATTCTGTTTGGACAATTGGTCTCTTTTCGAAGCCCAAGCAGCCCAGCAGGGTTTATGTGATCCACATACATCCACGTGGGTTTGCCTTTGAGGTGTCTCTGATCGCGTTGAGAAGCGGGAGGCGGGGGAAAGTGTCGTGGATTGTCCATGTTGATCTGGCTGATGCTTGGTAGCCGAGACAAGGACAATTCAGTTTGAACATATGAACACCCACCCACACACACACACACGCACATAAATCTATATATATATAGTATAGCGCGAGTGCCTATTGCCTATTATTGCATTTTGTTGCCTATTGCTAATTGTCCTCAGGGGGAACGGCAGAAAGAGACCCAACGAAGCCTTCTAGAAATAGACTGGAGAGCTAACTGGAGACACTACACTGTAGACGTCGACGTATATGTAATTTTTGTTCTTCGGATTGTAGTTTTCCTTGAACACAACGGTTGACGGGTCTACGTTTTGTCAGTCCCGAAGTGCATGAGGTTACAACATGTAGATCTCGACACCCTGGTGGGTTGGGCACAATTGCAGGGCTCCCAGCGCTCCAAGACGAGCAAAAGAAAGTCATTACGCCTGCACGCACTATGGCACAAGGAGCGTTGCTTGCTGTCTTCCTACCTCGTGAGGGTGAATCCCTGACGCTTAGTATCACTCCCAACCAATCAGACAGTTGAACGTTGAACAGAATTTAAGTCTCACCACTACGGCCGTTGACACTGCCAGAAGGGCAGTCTCCACCATCACAAGTATTTGGATATTCCATAATATTCCATCTTGTCCACGCTTTACCTTTTGCTTCAGCCGAGCTCAGGTTCAAGTGCTCCGAGCTTTGGCCGATGCTGTGGAGGTCAATTCTGCCGGTCGTGCACTGGGCTTGTTGAACACTGAAGATACTGAAGGGAAAGGAATCAGGAAGTGGAAGATGCAGACACCGATTCAACATAGCTTGGAGGGATGTTCACTCCTTCCGAATCCTTCCTATTTGTAAACATGTAAAAGAGGTGCTTGAAGTAAGCAAGCTGCTTGCTATTTGTTGATCGTAATATGTTTTTCAAAAGGTGTACTGCAATACGTATAGTGTGCAAAACCTTCTCTGCATGAACACATACTCATGACCAACCTCTTTGGCTGAAGTCTCCATCAAAGTCGCTTCATGTTGCACTGGCAGAAAACGTAGGATTCAATGCAAAGCCTTTGATGTCAATGATGTTGTCTTATTAAAACACCTTTGGCCTTGATGAAAAAGGGGACGATTGAAAGCAGTGCCTACCGGTTTACACATGTTTACAAGAGTCTTGAAGACGAGGTCCCAAAGTTCGGGTTTTGCCGAAAGGCCACGCCTGCAGAGCGCCGTCCCCTGGCGGAGAAGGTGCCAGACACGCAGGTGGGGCACTTCCAACTTTTGCACCAGATATCGTTCACCACCAAGTGCCAGCAGTGCCAGCCAGTCGAGTCGTGCCAATAGCACCAGTTCTGCCTTGCACCTCATTTTACATGCCATACACAATATGGAGGCCATCGCTTCTAGGGTGGAGGCCATCGCTATTACTGTAGGTTGGAGGCCATCGCTATTAGGTTCCTTTTGCTATTAGGTTGGAGGCGTTCTTAGTCCCCGCTCCGTGGATCGGATGTGCACAGATGTCCACTTCAGCAGCTCATCATTTCTCCAGGTGTCGGCAAAGATAGATACAAAACCAGAGGACTGATGGTCGGCCCGTTTTGCCATGTTAACATATTGTTTGCAGGCAGAGCCACCCTCCTTTGCCATGAATCAATATGTTGTTGAATTCGCCTGCCATGGAAAGCGCAAGAGTCTCACCATGATATATTTTGCACCTCACCTTGTGCGGTATGTAAGGAGTCGAAGAAGACCTTCTTGAAGAAGATGGTTTCTGCAAGTACTTTGTGGCCTCAGGCAGGCATGGCCAACAACAAATCTTCTCTGAACAATTGTTCGGCAGAAATGACGCTGGAACATCTTAAACTACTCATACCAAGTTCTAACGCTTCAAGTTTTACAGTAAGGCTTTTCACAAAAGGTAATCTGCAAAGGGTGCTTGCAAATCTCTTGAAGGTCCTGAAAGCTTTGCCTCCTCGGTCGCCTGCAGCACCTTCACGGATCGTCGCAGTGCCAGCATTGGAGCCCAGCAGTACAGGTAGCAGGCAGCGACTTGAGAGATCTTTGCAGGCAGCAGTAGCCATGCTATTAAAGGTTATCAATGCTACAAGTTGTATAACATTCCGGATCATTGCGTGCTTTCGTCCAATGAAAGGAATGTTCGGACCTTGTTCTATAGGGAGCATTGATGGGATAGGGGGCTTCTCCTACACTGGTCACTGGTCATTCACATAGGCATGCCAGATCCGAAGATGCACCATTGGCCATTGGCTTGCCGTTGCGATGGCAATGCCTCAACCTCCATGACAGTGGCTCATGATTCATTGAGGCCGCTCGAACAAACTCCGCCCCATTCGATATTTGAGGCTCGGGGACAGCCAGAGTCAAGGAACAGCTACAAGGCAACCCAACAACTTACTCGTAGCACAGGTTGATGAATTATTCTTACTTATAACCCCTACCTGTTGTTCCTCTCCCGTAGCAGCGTCCTTGCTCCTAGTAGCGATGCCCTTTGTTACTTGCTACTAGTAAGACCAGGAGCGCCCTAGTAGCGTCCTTGCTCCTAGACACTCTCCGCATTGGGAGACAAACAGATCAGTGGCATGGCAGGCTATTAGAGCCTGCTCGCTTCCCGAGCTGATTCGAGCTGGTTGAAGCTTGAGCCTGAAAGCATCAAAGCCTCACCTGCCAGCCGATCTATGCCTGGGGTTTGAGCAGCAGTTGCAGGGAAGGGCCCTGCAATGTTGCTGGAGGCTTTGGATCGCGCAAGAAGAGAAACTATTTGTTTGTTGAGAGGATCTGCTTGATCATCAGTAGCTGATGCACTGGAAAATGATGTGCAGTCCAAGCATGCAGAATGCATGGCTGGACCAATAGCTTCAATTTATGTGCAGCCCAACTCTCATCCCTTTCCGGGAAACAAGCTAGGGCAAAGAGCAAGATATTTCTAAATACAGTATATATACAGTTTTTCACGTTTTTTCTACATTGATACCCTAATATTCTTGAATTGATGGACTGTGTAGCTCCGGCAGTCATTCGCATGTGGCGAAGGGGAGCCAGGATGAGCCAGGCAGTTGGGTTGCCTTTCATAGCGTCTTGGGGATAGGCAGGATGCATAGCCAAGCCCTCTTGTGGTGTTGCCTGGCCACTTGGGAACAATGGGATTGGAGAAGTCATCCGGAGAGGAGAGAGTCATCAGCGGAGTTGTCGCACCATGTCGCCGGGTTGCTTTGTTTCCTTTTTGTCATCAACTGAAAGTTTTCATACCATTTTTCATAGAGGTGAAACTGTACGGTTCGCCCATTTGGATGGTTTGTGCGGCAACTCTGCTACAGCTACGGGGCTAGCTGTCTCCGGTTGGTTCTACATCGATGAATTGGTTCTAGCATGCGAGGTGGTCCAACACATGGTCCAGACCCACCAAGCATCGGATCAACCGCAGTTTTTTCAATTCTCTCCTTAATTGGTCTGCAGACCGTGGAGACTCCTGGGGAGAGCAGGACGACGGCCAAAAAGAAGGACCGATGCGAGGCATCGACGTGCCCAGAGTTGTCAACTTCAGAAGGATGAGAGTTGAATGGAGTTGATACTTGTAGTGCCGAATAGGGCACGCAACTGACAAACTGAGGCAAATCTGGCGCATCCCCCTCTCCTTCACATTGGAGGGTGGACATCAATGTTGACATGATGTCTCTGCAATTCTTTGCAATTCCTCTGTGAACCACTGTATACACGATGAAAAGGGGAAAGGCAGTAAAGGTTACAGGTTTCGTCCAGGCCTGCTGTCCACATCAGTGGCATGGGTAGCAGACGACATGAGCGCTGTTTGCATTTGTCATTGACAGACATCTACGCTTCCACAGCAGGACGGGCACAAGGTCAAAACCATGCTGTACGAGTTTGTTTTTGCATGCAAAGGGTTACCTTGGATAAGTTTGGATAAGGCATGTTTACTTCTCAGAAACTGAAAGTGCTGCTTGGATATTGAACATGTAACGGGCACATCGCGCACAACACACGGGCGGATGCTGCCCTTCTCAAGCTTCACAGGTTGGAAGCATGTTTGTGTGGCAAAGCTGCAACATAAGTAGGGCACATGCAGAATGTCGGCTGACAGAATGATGCATGGGCTGTTCGGATCCCGTTGACATGAACACTCATCCCGGAAGCCCAGAATCTAGAGCCTATATAACACATGGACACCAAAACCTTCGTTTTAAGGTTCGAAGGACTCCTGTCTTCAGGGTTGAACCCTGAACTTTTGCTCAGCCAAAGGCCCTTTATTCAAAGTTTGGCAATGTAAGCTCACGCACATCTTGTGAGATGAGTCTGTGCTCATGGCTTCCTTCTGTCGCTCCAGGCAGGGTTGCGGCTAGTTTATGTCCATGTAGCAGTCTTAACCGACAAGGAGTCAGACGCCTTCAAAACCAGAAGGCTGTTTGTGGTTGAGCATTCGCAGATGATGCTGTGTGCATTTGTGCAAGCAAGCATCCGATCGAGCACATGGCGGAGGAGTCATTGGTCGGTCGGCACACGATGAAGGTATCAGTTTCACGTCAGCACACGATCAACAGCAGCAGCAGCGGCAGCAAAACAACCGTAATTCTCCAGCAGCAGTTGAAAACACTGCAGTCAATCAAACAGCTTTGATTTTGACTGTGGCACTCGAAACTGCGTGATTTCTGAGATTTCTTCAGGTGTTTGGTTTAAGTTTAGGCAGTGCTGGCTTGCTCACTGACGCTGCAGGCTGCACCTGTGGCAGAGCCTGTTCATTTTGGAACTCTGGCAGACAAGGTGGGTCCAGCCCCCATGTTCGCAGAGTCACAGTGGCTACTACACACCACAGGGTGCTCGTCGGTTTTTTTGCCCCAGGAGTCCGCATCGACATCATCAAACCACGTGTAGTCCCTGACTGCCAATGGGCGGTGCTGTTGGCACCTTTGGGGTTCTTCACTACGATGAGTTTGCAATGTTCTTGACGCACATGCAGCATGCATACATCAATTATGCGTGCTACTTCTCATGTCATCATAACGACATGTACGTTGTTTTGGCGCAGGTCAGCCACCAGCCAAAACGTGTCGAGCCAAGAAAGTGTGTCAGTCAAAATCAAGTCATGTATCCATATGGCGATAGTATTTGCGGCCCATTCATTCGTAGGAGTGAACTTTCAGACGTACATTATCCCAGATGTCTCAGATGACAGCTGATCTATATATAACATTCAATTATACGGATCTACTGTTTGGCCTGAGACCATGGCAGCCAGCCAGCAGCTGGCTCATATGATCACATAGGTAAAGATAATTCCTCAAGGCCTTTGCCAGCAGCTGTGTCCCGTCAGCCTCGATGCTGAGGCAGAGGTAGTGGTGACCTTTGCGGAAAAGACAGATGCTTCTCCGCCAGTTCCCTAGTTGGACACTGTAAAGAGAGGGGCAAAGGCACTGGACTACTATTGAAAGAATACTGTAGGATATTGTATGATATTGTAGGTTTCTAATTGAGTGTCCTGAGCTACATTCAAATCAATTCAGAATTAGGATGTAGAAGGCAGAAGGATGCAAGGAGCCACTTGCACCAAAGGTGGCAACCCGAGAAGTTTCTCGAAGTCTCCTACAGCGAGGCTGGACCACAAAGCAAATTACCCGTCGCACGACCGGAGTTCCCCGCTGTGTTCAGCCGAATCAAGTCATCATGTGCAGGCTCGCTGACGCATCCACTTATATATATATATATATGTGCGTGTGGAATGTCAATTCCTCGGAGAAAGATGTTGTGCAATGTCCAGGTTCAGTTTCCCTAGAAATCTAGAAACCAAATCATTAGCGTGCGCTATCCTGCGTCCAGTTCCTAGTAGCTTACTTATAGGTACTAGCGACTCCCTAGCTAATAGCTCCCTACCTCTAGCTACTTCCCACCTCACTACCTCTACTAGAGGCCTTACCCCCCCCGGTCTTTAAAAGATGCCCGTTTGCCCTCCTACGCATGTTCAGCATTGTGGAGGTTGCAGTTGTTCTCTCCTAGGTCTTGCAGCCCTTGGTGAATGTATCGGTCGGAGGACAGTGGTCAGAGTGCTCAGCTCGTAGTGCAAAATTTCGTGAAGTACCCAAGCTCTTTGCCACACGCACTGCAGACCAAGCTAAGCTTCTGACTTTAGCTTTCCAGGGTGCTTCCCCTGAATAGTTTGTTGTGCGGAAATGTGTGAGCTGATGTGAACTGAGTTTTGCTTCACTGCTTCACAACCCCCTGAGGCTGCAGCTGGTCTACGACAGTTCCTCAGCTTATGCAGTAGCCTTCATGAAAGAGTGCCTTGGCAAGACACGGCTCTTGGCGCTTGCGTTTGCAACCTCCGAATTGTTCACTCACCCCTTGATGCTGAGCCAGATAAACATTGTTTCATGAGGTGCTCTCTGGCGCTGTATATAGTCTAATACAGTATCACCACAGATGGTTAGCAATGAAGTCAATGAAGCCAGACCGCTAATGAGGCGATTTCAACAGGAACCATTGGCAAACGGTTTGATTTACAGTATATTTATATTGCCTAAAGTCAATGCCTTATTTCTTACAGGAACATCAATGAAAGCCCAGCCAGTAGGTGCAGCGCAGAACACTCAGGTATGATGCGTGCTTGCCAAAGAACTTGTCATCATGCTACTCTTACAAGGCTCATGGAACCTGGCTACTCTTACAATGCTCATGTGTGGCAACAGTTGTCAGTTCCTGTAGAATGACAGCAAAGGAAGCAAGGGTCGGGTCAGTGCTAAAAAGCATCACATGTTTGATTTAATCGTACTTAATTGGTGTTCTAAGGATATTGTACCTATGGATCCCTACTTAGTGTAATTGAAGCTCCTCATTTTGGGCATCCAATGGCCGCGCCACCCTTCCAGGCGGCGGAAAAGCACGGTGGTTTGCATGTTTGTGAGGACAACAACGACCCAAAGGCGAGGCGGCGAGGATCGACATCTCCGTTACTGCTAGTGACGGCGCAGTTCCGTGCGCTGTGGCTGCACTGAACGACTGAACGGCCGCTTTCAACTGTTCAACCTTTCGATGTGCGTGAGGCACCAACGGCACAAACACCCTGATTCATCCGATCCAATGGTGTGACAAACACCAGGCACTTGTTTCTACTAGTCAGGCACTTGTTTCCAATAGCTTCTTGTTTCTACTAGTAAGGCACTTGTTACTAGTAGCGATGCACTTGTTACTAGTAGCTGACATGCAGCCTTGCCAGATTTGCCAGGTGGTTTGTGATCTCAAGAGGAAGGCAAAGTTTCTTTGTGAGAAGTGCTCCACCTTCCATCACTCCAAAATCGCATGGAATTCACACGCTCTTTCAAACCGGTTGGCAGAGGTTTCATGTTTTCTTGAAACACGTTTCAGCACCTGAAATGTGGGCCTTGGCCTGTTCATTGCTGGCCAGGTACGCAGCCAACCTGTCCAGCACCACCACTCACAGTGATGGTTTGGTTATTGATGGCCTGGAATACAATCAGCAAGGTGTGGAATACAATCAGCATGGTGACCTCTATCCATCCTGAGCTTGACTTTGAACGCAGACGATTACACTGAGCCAAGCCAACAACTACAGTAGTCTCAGTAGTTAGTACGGCATATACATTCTGCTCCCATGATCTTACAGGACCTCTTCTGGCCATGCATGGCTACCCCTGAAAGAAGGTGACTTGATGCCTACACAAGTTAGTTTGGAAGTCTCCATGCGTCCTTTGATTCCAGATGTCCATTGTGCCACAAAGAAGGTTGCCACCACTACACCCTACAAGCATAGGGCCTGCCATGTCTGCTTTGTCAAAGCAGAACCAATGTCTGCTCTGTCAAAGCAGAACCAATATCAAGATGCCCCTCTTTTCGACGATCAACGACAAAACAGTAACAACTGGACCATTTCTCATGTATTTCTGGTGCTGTGACGGCCCGTACCATCGGCTAACGAAAAGAACCCACTCTTGACTGGTTCCTCGTCGGCATCACCGACTTCTCGGAGCTTTGGGGTTCATCAGCTCTCCATCAGCGCAGGTCTTGAGGCTTTGGATCAAGTGCAGCTGGAGGTCCACGCAACAGAAAAGCAGATCATGAGTCTCCCACCCAGCTGCCCGACGTGTTCGGACCAGACATTTTTGGCTTCCAGTATACTCAAGTAAGTTCACTGAAGTTTTGGATATTTGAATATATTTGATATTACTGTATTTGATGATTCTTGTCCTTTTTTTCCACGAATGCCTGAAGCCAGGCAACTCAGTTCTCTAAATAACGCGTTGTGTTCTTTCCATCAACCTTAACATGGCGCGCCTGCCATGTTTTCCGTCCGATGAAAACAAGGCACCGAGGCGCCATGCCGATGCCCCGAGGCTGGTCCTTTGTTCCCGTCCGGTTGCTGGTGAACAATCTCACCGCCTCCAAGGCACCAGATCGGTGTCGAGCTGAGCGGCGGTGTGGGGGGTCTCTGGCGAAACAAAAGTACCCGCTTCTTCGGTGAAAGTGAGAGAACGGCACCACTCTTTTTGTTGCAAGGCGGGATTGGGGCAGCCGTATATTCATCACTTTTCAGCCCATCCAAATCAGCAAGCTGTGCTCACTCTTGGCCTTGGGGCCCAAGGCCCTTGGGCTGCTTATCCATCTAATCTAGCTAAAGTTAAGCACGCTACAGATCACACACAATGTTTAGATATGTTTAGTTTAGATTAATTACAGTATTTAGTTTGGATCACAACAACAGCTTCGTCCAGTTGCTCCAAGATCTCTTTAAGGAATTACAAAAGGATCAGTGTGGTACACAAGGTTGTTCAGCTGTTAATATAATTTATAAGATGTGATACTGTAACGATTGTTTTTAACTTCATTTGGTTGCAAACTACAGATGTTTTGGATTGTTTTGGTGTTATCCTTCATAGTGCCAAGTAGCCTTCCTGATTTGCAGAACATGCTACTTTGCTGGTAGTGTTTCCGTAAACGCACACCGTACACCCGCTCCCCACCCCAATTTAGTTTTTGTCGTTCAATGACAATGGTGTGAAACCGATGACCTTGGTGTGACAGAGATGACAATCCTATGACTGATGATGATGATGATGATGATAAGGATGTTGACAATGACGATATCGAAGAGCAGCAAACGCTCGTACAGTTCTCGGGCAGGCATAAACAAGGCCTTCACTGAGAGCGGTGGGTGTTGTTTTAAAGTCTTCCCAGATCCCCAAACAAGATAGCCGAGCACTCCTGGAGCTTGTTTTGCGAAAACCATGTCCATTTGCCCAGCCGAACTCCCAAAGATCAGATCCGTACAGTGAGAACCTGGGTGAAAGTAGCAGGAAGGCCTTTCTTCAGAACAAAAGGATGGGACGCAGCATGCGGCACACTGCTCGTGAGTAGTACGGACAATTACGAACATATTCTAAGGTGCACACTCAGAATCTCTCATGACACTAGTGGTCAAGTGATCGTTTGTATGAAATGAATGAGCTTGCCTCACAATTTTTTACTTTTGATCTGAAATGATCTCTCTCTCTCTCTACTTTATCCCGCAATCCTCAGATGAGAACCAGTGCTAGCTCTTGACTTTGTAGGATTTGCGGTGCTCCAGATGGCCACCAAGTTCTTCACATTCCTGTGACGGGACCCCTTTTTGCCCCGTCGCGCTCGCCCAAGGGGGACTGCGAACCTCGAGCTGTTCAAAGGCTCCTGGGCACCATGCCGGATGATGTTCGGGTCTATAATGCTCTTTAAGGAAACTGTGCAGGAATGTGAGGGATCACTAGATCCCAACTTCTTCCAGTTGATCTGTGGCGGACTTCAGCCGAGTAGTGGATAACCAAACAAAAGGACGGAGTTGTGCAACTGGTTTGCTGACTCATTCTACTGAGTTTTCCTTCTTTCAATACATATACATATATGAGTCAGCGTGAAGAACAATGATGCTACCGGATGTACTGCACCACCCCGGATACGAACTACACTACACTTCGAAGGAGCAGACGGAATCCTTGGCAGCTCTGGTCCTACGCTGCAGAAAGCTTAGGTTCCACACAGACTATTGTTATTTCATGTTCCACACTCTTGAGACCCCTGAAATGTGCTTTGGATCGTTTGTTTATGCTCGCAAAGTCATTACAAATCTAACACATCCTGTGCATCGTGCACTCAAGTATAGGAAAACACTTTCCATGCTGCCAGAACTCTGGCATACCGCCGTTGGCGTCGACAATCGCCGTTGTCATATTGACCCCGCCTCTCGCTCATGCAGATTAGGTCGTGCCGCAATACGACGCTATGGAACTTGCTCCTGCAGAAGCTGAATGTTACGAGCTTTTTCCTCGATTTCCATCCTCCTCAAGCTTCCATTTTCAGCGCCAGATGCCAAGAGACCGGTGGTCAGAGTTGCTTATAGGTTCACTCTTGACCGTGATGTGCTGACAAAGTCATAGCGTGGAAAGTTAGACGCCATCCAGACACTTTTTTTAAACTTATGCAAGCCTTTTGTGTCCAAGGACTCATCCCCAAGCCGAATCGTTTTCAATGAGGCTGGAGACATGCCATCACACAAGTACTGTATGCAAGCGACCAAGACATGCAACATTTGTATGCCAGTTTCTCTAATGTAGTTTTTTGGGGTATGAATGCATTCTGTCCAGCTCTCTTCTTTAGAAGACAGACATGCTTGTCTAGCAGCTCACTGCAAGCTGGTCATAGCCTTGATTCCATAGAATGTGTTTGTGGTTCTTTATAACGTATGATAGCTTATGCATATCACGGGATGTTGGTCATTAAAAAGGAATGCATATTTGAGTTGAGGCTGCTTGTTTGCATCTGAGTGAGGTGGATCCTGCTGCGGAGAATGAGTTGTTGTGGAGTCAGCCAAAGCAGACTGGCGACATGATCAACGATGCCATGCATGAAATGCTGATCTATCATCCAAAGGCAGGATCCCCGTATCACGGTCGGAACAGGATATGTTCCATGGCTCATAACATGCGCTCATGAGCTTACTGTACTTCCGTTGCAATTTCATTTAGAGACGTTCATTCATGTGCACATTCCGGCCAGACCTGGGATACTATTATCATCGAATATCCATTGCTTCTCTGTGAGATCACACGACTATAACACGGCCCCACCACTTTCGCCGAAGGGAAGTTGTAAGGGAAACAGCTCTTCGCTGAACTTATCTTCGAGATGGCAGACTCAGATGAGTGAGGCGACGAACATGTTCTCATCTATCGTGCTTTTTTTGGAATTAGAGTGGTCCCCTTACATAGATGACCGAACTTCTACTATTCCGGGGTCTTGTTTGTATTGCTCGCACCAGTGTCAGGTCTGTGGCATTGACCTGCTCTACAATGCATCATCGAATTGGCTGACGATCCTTGACACTTCCGGGCTGGGACCTCTATGTTTGAAACATGTCTAGTTAGTTTATCGTTTACTCTCTACGATAAATCATACCCGAAGCCAAGATGTCACTACTATGCGAAGCCTAGCAGTTTGGAACAAGTCAGCTTCGCATGGTGTGTTCTGACCATACATGGCAACAGCGGTTGTGGATTTCTTGGAGATGCCTTGATTCTCACAGCCAATCATTGCTTCACTTCTCAGGGTTAAGTCAAGTTTCCCTAAAAATCTAGGAACCAAATCATTAGTGCGAGCGCTTCTTCAAGAAAGCTCCCCCCGCCCTCACGTGGGGGGCAGCTTTCTTGAATAAGCGTGAGCTATCCTGCATCCTAGCTAGGGGCTTCCTATTGTTAGTAGCTTACTCCTTTACTTAACTAAGTGGTAATAAGTGAGGGCGGGATTCACAAGAAATCAACTTTACTTCGAGTGATCCCCACCATGACATTTCAATCATTTGTTTCATGTCATGGTTAAGAGCATGTTGCCATGGTCGTGATGCGGTAACAATGATGCCTGCAAACTCAGGTGCCTGTCTTGTTGTATTTTCCAACAGGATGGACTGCAAACATGCAGCACACTTGCCAAGCATCTTGGACATACAGCGGCAGCCAAGCATCTCCATCCAACTCCAGTTCACTTGCGTCTTCTGCTGACAGTGCGTGAATTCGACGATAGCTAGGCATAGTTGTCAAAGCTCGGCCACGAATCAAACGCTTTATCATCTTTCCCGCCTGAATGATTGTCTGTGAAGCAGCCTCTGCTGCTGGCTCATACAAAACATCAAGCGGCAGTCTCTTGGGCAAGTCAAACTTTTGGCACTTCTGTGGCAAGTGGCCTATGCTGTTTGCAATGCCCTTCCAAGCTTTCCTCGGCACCATCCATGCGACACTGATGAAGTTTTTCTCTGGCACTTGCCTTTGAGGTGCCCACTGCCACGTGGCACTTGCTGTTGAGGTTCGGTAGTGCCGACTGCGATCTGGCGCTTGCAGTTGAGGTCCGGCAGTGCCCACTGCGATCTGGCGCTTGCTGTTGAGGTCCGGCAGTGCACACTGCGATCTGGCGCTGGCTGTTGAGGTCCGGCGGTGCCCACTGCGATCCAGCGTTTGCTGTTGAGGTGCCATCTGGCACTTGCAGTTGAGGTCTGGCAGTGCCAGTGGCAGTGCCCACTGCGATCTGGCGATCTGGCGCTTGCTGTTGAGGTCCGGCAGTGCCCACTGCGATCTGGCACTGGCAGTTGAGGTCCGGCAGTACCCACTGCGATCTGGCGCTTGCAGTTAAAGTCCGGCAGTGCCCACTCCGATCTGGCGCTTGCTGTTGACGTCCGGCAGTGCTCAATGCACGTGGAGTTGAGGTATAGTCCATTGCGATCTGGAGCTGGCAGGTGAGGTGCGGTAGTCAAGAAGAGTAATGACGAGTAGAAGAGGAGGAGGAGACAAGGAAGAGGAGAGGAGGAGAAGAGCTCTGATAAAATCTAATAGCCCTCACCTGGCAGGTGGGGACTTGAAATTCGTTAGTCGTGACTTCTTGTTGGGTCTTGTCATCTCAGTGAGTTCTGAGCCGACTCCTGCTGCGCTGTCATTGTCTTGTCATCTCACTGCATTGTGACGTTTACACAAGTTTACATGTTTGTTTGGACGAGCTGGAAAGCACTCCTGAAACCACATCAGCGCAAAAAGAGCACGATGGCATCGCTCGTGACGAGGCCATGTTTGGCATTTCCGCCCTTCCTGTTCGACCGCTTGATGCATGCAACTCAGATAGCTCAGAAGGGTGCGCTTTGATAGTGAATGGCCTTATGTACATCCTCCATTTGCACCCTATATAATTATTACATGACATAGTGTGGTTTGCTGATGTGCGCTCCTGTGGGTTTGGGAGTGCTTCGAGTGTCCTCGTAGTCTACGTTCGGCCACCGGACAATACCAGACAGGACTCACATCCCAGTGCAGTGCCCTTTCAAGCGCGGCGAAAAGTCTTATGGCCGTCTTTGCTCTCCACAGGCAGGGCCTTTGTTCTCAGTTTCCACAACTCTACGAAACTTAAGTTTGACTTGCGTGTTTTGCAGCTGATGAGTCAGTCAGAGCTTATGCTCCAGTGCAGCGCCGTAGGCAGGCCAAAGAGATAAACTGCGTGGAACCAAGTCTCAAGGTTCAAGGTTCAAAAGGCAGGAACAACGACAATGACCATGAATCAAGGCAGGCGGACTACTCAATGATTGGTGAAAAGAACGCCAAACATGGCTAAGGAGGAGACATGGCGGTGTGCCCTGCCGGAGTTCCCTTACCCAGCAACAGGACAGAAAAAAAGAAAACATACTATATATCAATAAATATAAGTAAGTACAGTATATACACATAAGATAATCACCACGCGTTAACAAACTTGAGTCATTGAGCGAGGTCCACCCATCCCGGTCAATCCCCAAACCACTCGGTCTTATGGTCGTTTTGGTTTGTTTGTTGATGCCATCTCTGCCATCATGAGGCCTATGTTGAGCTTTCAGCTGGAAGACTCAAGGGAGCCAGGCACCAAGCCGGCAAAAAGGCTCGAGTTGGCAGGGAAGCATGGATTCTCACGAAACATGTCGAAACGCCCCTTATTGGCAAAGTCGTGGCGGTGCGTCGTGGACGTCGGGCCTCGTCGCTGCCCCAAAGAGTAGGCTTCTTTGTTGGCACATACTTGAAGAGGCATCAAATGGTGACATTCACCAGGATAATTGTTTGTTTGCAAGGACCTTGCTTTAATTCCTGGCATAGGTTCCGAACCACTTTGAACAGCCACAATGTCAAGAGTAAGGGTCTTACACAAGTATTTCACACCTCGCCAGTGCAACAGTGCAACCCACTAAAACGGGAGCTGAGCCTAGGTCACATTCCCATGGTCACATCCAATCCGTTCTGTTGCTGCATGGATCGGAAGAGCACATTCTTCTTGCGTCAGAGGCCAGAACCTTCATCCATCCACCTGGCCTTGGAGCGCCTGATCTTCAGGTTGCGACATGGGGACAAGATAGAGAACTGTGTGAAGCTTCTCAGATACAGATTAGGTTGGAGGCCATCGCTAGTGGGTTGAAGGCCATCGCTCTTAGGTTGGAACATGTAAGTTGCAAGTTCAGCTTTGCCAAACTGCAGAGCTGGACCCTTGACATGCATTACCACGGTGTGCAGCTCAGGCTCAAACCTTGAAGTAATGCACATCCCAAAGGATATTTGTTTGGTCAGGATTTCATACTATTGGAAAAACTACATAGCATGGCGACCATAGAGTTGGAGAGAACGCTCCAGCTCTTTTTGGTGCAACCCCTGTTGACGGGATGTCCGTAGATCAAGGACAGCTTGTTCGGTTTCGCGTGAATCGATCCGCCAGGAACTCCTCTGGGCAGGAACTGCTTTGTGTTTCCAGACAAGACACCAATACGGAGGGCACACCTGCGGACATGATGTCGGGATGCCCAAAGGGTCAGAGATGAGAGGTCTTGGAATGCCGACAACCTCTCCTTGCAAAGACTGAGGTGTCCTTGCCAAGTGAAAGATGAGTGAAGAATCAAGTTGAACAGAGGCAACCCAAAAGAACCTTAAGACCGAGCACAATACCCTCCAGATTTGATGTTCAGAGATGCCAGCGTTTATGTTTTACACGCCTCACGGTATTTGCCGTCCTTTTCATCTCTCTCCCAGGTATTCGCACATTGCTTTCGGGTCCATGGTGGCCTCTGCACTACACATCGTGGCTGAGCAAGCAGTGACATTCTGTAAGACGTTTCATGTGACAAGTTGAGCGTGTTATGTGTTTTGTCCTTACCAATCCTTCATGTTGCCTAGCCTCATAAACAATATTCCTTGGTGTTGCTCGAGGTAGTTGACTTGCAGAATGCGACAATGGGCATGGAACTCGGAGATTCGCATTGCCAGTTGCCCTGTGAGGCTTTTGCAGACTAAACAATCTAAATCAACACATCTACTGTCGATTCAATGTGTAAAACGATTCGGAACATCATGCAGCATGATGGTATACTATGTTTGTTATAGTATGTTATATTTTTAACAAACAGTAAAACTGTGTGGGTCGCTTGTGCAGCTGTTTCGTTTCCTCAGTTTAGCTGAGTTGTCGTTTGATACCACCTGCGGACTGTGCCCCCGGATGGATCGGTGTGATGGAACTGACCATGTCTCACTGGCAGGTCTAGCTTCCAAAGGCGATCCAGCGGCTGAGAGCTCACAGGTCGGGAAAAAGCACTGGCAGACGGACTGACAGAGATCACTTGCCATGTTCCTCCTAACTTTAGGAGGACAGGATGGGCGTCAGTACCCATTTCATTCCAGGCTCTACATGTTTGTGGAGAAACTGCAGAGCCTCATAATTATGAAAGGCCCAATAACCCATGGACAGTTGATGGAGGATGTAAGTTCTGAATCCCCCAGTTGCTCCAGGCTGGTTGTGCAAAACAACCAACTTGCGTCGGCATGCAGAGCACCTTGGCTCCACCTGTATTCTACTTCCAAAGGCAATGAACATTGGAATTACTTTCTGCACCCCGGAAGCGACTCCTTACGAACCAGCGGAGGAGCTTGGTCGTTTTGTGAGACATGTGAGACACAGTTGAACCTTGAACCAATCGTCATCTACTGTGTCCACCAGTTGACGACCCTCAGGATTCTTGATTTCTTCACGCTCTGGTCGGTTGCCATTTAATCATTTTGGATGTTACTAACTGTTACTACATCGGCCTGGCCTGGCAGCTTTAGAAAGAGTCAGCAATTAAGCGCTGCCCTGCTGAGTGGTCGTGGATGGATGTCACCTCAACTACCAGTGTTCCAGATGGCCATTCGCAGCTCGCATCCTGCCAAGGCTTCTTTCCTCCTCTCAACCTTTGCCTTGCGCTCATTTGGCGGTTGCAAGAAGCCAGTGTACCACAACGCCAGTTTTGACCGATCCACAAAGCCTTGGCCACCTTTGTTGATGGTGAAGAGCATCGAAAGACGATTCTAGCATATGTTTGTTCCTTTTTCAGGTATTCACCCACCGTATGAGGACTTTGACCCATAACGAAAGAGTCCTGTAGCAATTTAAGGTCGGCTTGTCCAATGACACATCTACATTTTGTGCATGTTTGTGTCATATTGTTCAGTGTTTTGGTGTCAAATAACCATCCCAAGGTGAGGACCCTCCTTGCTACCGTTACCTCTTCATGATCGTTGACCAAGAGACCAAAACTTGCCGCTGGACGGGCCCACGGCAGGGGGGGTTGAGGTCGAGGTGAATTCATTTGTCTTCAGCGTTTTTTGATCAGGCGGTTTTTTGTTATTTTTCAACCGGTGTAGAAGAAAAATCACAAGACAAGAGAGTTGCAATACAGTATGGTCTGTGCTGTGCTGGAATACAGTATGGTCTGGCCTTTTATTTTCCGCACCCACAAATATGCTGGTCTCTCTCTCTCTATATATATATATATAACATCTTCCACCACTTCTCCGATAGAACCCCTGGCCAGGGCTATTGGAGAACGCTCATTTGCTTCACAGAAGCTTTGGTAGACGTGTGAGGCAAAGCTTTGTCTCCCAGGAGATCTCCCATCCCCTTGCTCTTCACACTCCTGCTGGTCTTGTTAGTGGTCCTGGACCTGGCTAGCCACAGGCGCAAAGCGGCGCAAACGACAAACCTGTAGGACCGTAGGATGCGCAAACCTGCTTGTGGCTTGTTCTATCTTAGTCAGATTACGACAGACAAGTCAAACACAGAAAGCATCGCAATCGCTGTCCCAGACGTCCGTCCTTACCAGGCTCTACAAGCAAGCAATCCAGCGAGCCAGGGAGTACAACCAATGAAGGGCGCAAAAGTGCTCGTCACCCGATCGACTGCTCTGAATTCTTTAAAACTTTAATGATAACTCTTTAACTTTTTGACAACGGGGAAGTCTTTGAATCTACATTATATATACAGGGCTATTGAATTTGGTTGTGACAAGAGGGAAGAAGTTAGACATGCCCAAAGAGTGTCGCCGGATTTGTCAAAGCTTGGTCAGTGGCAAGAACATGGGGATGCAACTTACCAGGGCGTCAAGATTACATGTCATGGGGTGTTGTTTGCGCAGCTGTTTGCAATGCAGCGCCCCTGCCTATGCACAAAGACCCATTTGGCAGCAGGAGTCAAGTATGGTCTAGTTAGGGCATGCCCTTTTCCAGTCAAGCAAGCAGACACATTGGAACTAGAGGTTAGCTTTAGAGACCTTAGACCAAGAGCTTCAGAACTTGAGGGAGCAAAATCACAACTCGTGCTCCTGTGGCCAGATGGTACACTGAAAAATGCGTTTTGTCGTTTGCTCTAAATGGTACCATCCATTACACTCCCATTGCACCTGATTCTCAGAGCATCGTGTCACCATGGGGATTTGCACTGGTGGTTTACGGCACTGTTGTGGGGAAGGCGAGCTTGAACCCTGGCGTGGCACAGGCGGAAAGGTTCGACCTTTGGATGCAACGTGACCAGCTCGACCTTCTGAGTTGACATTTTGGCGGACGAGACCATCTGAGACCCGTGCTTTTCCTGTTTCATACAAACCAAGGAATGCTGATCATCGCTTTGGACTATGACTACGCCCCGCCGTCTGAGCTCACATGCACAAAGGATGCACGAACCATGTACCGGATGGTGGGCCGAGCTGGGGTGGATGATATCACGATTATCACGGACAAGGCATGCTCAGCAGTTTTAAACTCTGACTCGTATTATTTGTCCGCCCTTAGAAACGATATAGTTGTTATTTTTGGAATAGAACGTTTGGACCCAGGGACCGCAGGTTGTAGTGTATTTTCCCTGTGACTGGGTTGGGATGATATCCTATCGTAGTTCTGGAGGCATGGCATACCAATGCATACCATAATATGCCACATATATACTTTTTAAATCAATTCAGCTGTCAGATTTTAGTGCGTCATCTCAGAAAGATTGCCTAGTCTCCAAGATTTTGTTCTTTGTGTCAGGGTGGTGTGGGAGCTCCCAGCTTTCCTACACGCTCCTTCGTGCTACGCCACATACGGCAAGTGGCCCGTACTTGCGAGCCGGGAGACTGGTTCATTTGGTTCTGGGCGGGTCATGGTGTAAATGTCCCGGATTTCAATGGGGACGAACAGGCAGGGCTTCGAAGGGTGCTGAAGATTTGGATGTCGTGCCAATGTCCTTTTGCCATGTTGCCGCTCATTTTTTGCGATGTTAAGTGGCCCAGGGTGGCTTCGATCAAGCCTTCGTCACACCGGATCAGCAAGGAAAGCTCACGGAGTCTGCTTTGCTCATCGATGATGACTTTGCCCTAGCTTTAGCAACTGGACTCAAACATGTTGTTTGTTGTATTTTTTTTTTGTGTGTGTGTGTATGTGTGGGAATCGATGCAAGTCAGTTGAGCTCTCTCCGGCTCGAAATCAACAGATGCCCAAAAGTTCAGCCTGGAGCATCAATGCTTCATATCCAGGGCTCACTTTGCAGAGAATCCCAAAGAGGGTTGTTTCATGTTGCATTCCAAGAGCTTTGTTCCTTGACGCGCGAATGTCGACATCGACGGGCAAGGATACCTTTGTCCCAGAGGGTGTGCGCATTCTTTGTATCAATGACTGCTGCCATTCCGGGACGATCTGCGATATTGATTCCTTTACATACTCCCATGACATCTATTCGATCTCTGCAACTGGGCGAATTCTTTTGAAACGGATCTCTGTGACTCCCTGCTTCCTAGTATGCTTTTGATAAAGACACGATATAATTGTATTTATGTTGCTATAACCAATGCTAGTACCAGGCATGTACCAAGCATCTCTACTGACTGCTAATAGCGATGGCCTCCAACCTACTAGCGATGGCCTCCCCTCAAACTTTGTGTAGTCCAAGCTTTTGACCGGAGATCTGCAATCTCCAAGGCTGCCAAGGACGACGAAGAGGCGGAAGACGTGGGCGAGGGTGGAGTGCTCAGCTGTGCCATGCGGCGGGCGGTTCGGACCTTGAGCGTGGAGCATGGACGGCAGGAGCGGAAGAAAGATGGGACACCAGAACAAGACTGGCAACATAGATACTGGCACCTTCCCACCTCATCTATCCTCATCTCAATGTATACATTGTAGTTCATGCTTATTTTATGAATTTGTTGCAAAAACAAGTACTTCGAAAAACACACTGTAGGAATCTGTAGGATATTAATAGGTGGTCTCTTCATGGAGTCCTTGCCTTGTCCCTCCGCCTGTAGGAGTTTAGCATCTTAGACACCTTCAAGCGTTGCAAGCTCTTTGCCAATAGATTGACCCGCGAGCAGCATGTGACTTTGCAATATAACGGTACTCATCCATCTTTGGTGGCCTGGCCCTTGGGCTTTGCTTGGTGGGAATATATCAAGAAGGCCAATCTCATGAGGGTCGACATCCAGGCGAGGTTGGTCAGGAAGAGAGCTTGTTACAGCTTTTTTGACATGTCGCCCTTGGACTCGGACCATAGTTTCTTTTTCGCCGCATGAAATCGCTAGGATCTAGCAGAAGATGGCTTGGAGAGTGATGAAGAGTGGATGAGACCTGTGAATGAGCAACATGTCACTGAAAGGACACCGGTTCTTAGTACTTCGCCCTTTGGCTTCTCTCCAGCTGCCAGAGCAGCTCCTCACTTTAATAACTTTGGTCCAACGTGACCTGCCGCCTCCACAGCGAGACGACCACAAAAACAGGCAGAGCATGCCCTTTTGAAGCATTGAGGTCATTGGAGCCTTGGGCCCAAAATTGTGCGTGAGGTGCCCTTTCATGTATGTAGTACTGTTTGTTTGCAACCACAAAGTTGGATGGTTGAGCTGAGAGCCCTTGGCGGAGAAGGGATGTGCCGAAAATGCGTCTTTTAGAGGGATTCATTCATGATGCATCAGTGCTCTACGATAGATAGAATAGCAAGGCTGTCTCAAGGACCAAATTGAAGGGATTGAACGCCAAAAGTGATTGGCAGAGGAACCCCATTGAAATTTCCTCTATAGAATATGGTACCCCAGGGTTGAAACAAGGCATTTTACAGTAGTGGTTCGAGGATGGAGTCCCCTGGGTTACCCTATTCTACATTGGACTGGTGGTCAGGATTATGGAGGTCAAAAACAGTTCTAGGTTTGGTAGCGTGATTCTATAGCAGGAAGGAAGGAAGGAAGGAAGGAAGGAAGGAACCTGAGGGTAAAATTTTTAGCAGGATGGCGCAATTAACGCATTTTATGGGCCACCCAAAGGGATAAAGTTCAGAATTGGGAAGATCCCTTTCAACGGGCCTTTCCCCCCAGGCCATGAAATTTGCAACTTCTCTTTGATTTCCCGACTGCTACCAAAATCTGACTTTGAAGGGCCACAGCCCTGCATGAGCTTTCCTCCCCCTTCCATGTTTGTTCCATTGCCAGTTAATTTAACTTAATTTTTCTTGGGAATCCTTGCTCAAAAAAAAAACAAAACAAAACTGCCAAATTCAATTCTGGCCCGTGGTTGGCCAACTGAAGAACAGGGATGACAATGGATATGGTACCCGGTTTTGTTTGACGCAGACTTGAACATTGCGTGAGCCGTGAGACTCACTAGTATCATCAGGAATCTTGCGATCAGTTTGGACTGATGGATTGACGAACCAATCCATTCTGAAGCCTTTTAAACTGGCTCGAGCTTTGATCGTTCCGGCCATGGGGAAGGCTGGGCTGCCATGAACCGCTGACAGACTTGTTTTGGGCGAAGAGCTGTCAGTATACTTGAAGGCATTCCAAGCACTTAGTTTTTGCTTCGGTAACACTGGAGGTTTCCGCAGAACTTCACAGTCTGATGCTGCGCGGCGGCTTCAGATATGATGCGAAGAAGGACTGGCAATGTGGCAAGACAACGACAGAGTGCAGACAGAAGACAGCTTTGCAGTGCAGAATACCTTCACTTGCACAGCTTCAATCAACCGTTTGTTCACCGATTTTTCTTGGTGGCTTTGGCCTGGGTTGGTTGTCGAATTGTTTGGCACTTGAGAGCTCAAGAGACCGGAGAGGACAAGTATTTCATGGCCGGAGAGGCGACTCGTTCACTCTTCATGCGAGAAGCACCAGCCAGCGATGGCCTTCAACCTAAAAGGAATGGCCTCCAACCTAGGAGACTTGGCAACTCTGACGTCTTTTGATTTAGTTTGTTTTCCAATTGACACACACACACACTTTTCTAGGCCGAATGGGACAGACAGAAGCGCATCGACAAGGGAAAGAAGTGAGCAGCTCAGATATTTGCATGTGTCACACGTGTCATCCATATGTTCAGTAGAACAATGTAGAACACACTGGGTGTTTTTTGGCAGATGCAATACGAAGACGTCGTTTGTCTAACTACCCAGTAGCTCCCCAGACTCTGATTTCTTGCTGTTCAGCTATAGATACATTGACATATATATATATATAGGGGATAACCAGTCAATGGCACGAGGAGGCGCCCTATGATATGCGGGAAAAAAATGCGATCCAGTTGTGATCCCCTATAAATAAATAAATATATATAGACTCTAACATGACGACGTTTGGACAGAAGAATGCAAAGACTCGAATGGAAATGCAAAGATGGGCGCTCTGAATGGAAGAATGCTCGGTCTAGCCCAACAGGAAACTGGAGATAGGGAGAGGTTGAGATCTCGCTCAGGCAATATGCTGTTCCAGCAAGTAGCTTGGAGGAGTTTCACCAAGAGGAGGACCGTCGCCGCAGGATTGATCGAGTTAGCCTTTTGATGCTACGTTTTGTTTTCTGATGTGTTGCTTAATGTCCTCCTGGTGATTGTTTGCGTTGGAGTCTCTCCCCTTTCTCCTGCAAACAGTTGAGGTTGTTTGACTGGCCAAATGCAACTTTGCCGGGAGCAGGCTAAATCTCATCTCATCACCAGGAACAACACGTGGTGTGGTCGGAATCAGAACAACATTGCGATGCAACAAATACATAAAAGCGTATTTGCGCACTCGCGCACGATTGTGTAGTGTAGTGCAGGGACAAAGTCACACAGCCCTCTCAAATCCTTAGCACACGATCCATGTGCCACCTCCACGTGAAAATCAAACCAAGTTGAAAAATAAGTTTTAAAGCATTATCAGTTCTGAAGGCACAATAGGCGCAACAACACGGCCTGCATTTCATGCGTTTCACCTTATCAAAAACCATTCAAAGAATGAATACCATTGAACCATGAAAGGCTTTTGGAGGGCTTAGTGGCCCCACACTCCTTGCATCGTCTTTTGTCATGTGGACATGGCCACCTGGTGCCCGGCAGGAGAAGATGGTGGACTCTTTACTGGAACGCTTAAAACAAAAGGCTTCTGCAGAGGCCGCTGGATCTTTGGGATGCAAAAGCCAGTGATCACCACAAGGACTTCTACAAATTGATGCCTTTGTTTTCAATTTGTTCCTGTTGAAGACACTACTGTGAGGCAGTCCTCAAAAGTTCTATGATGTTCTTATGATTCCAGGGCATCCGAATTGGAAGAAGCGTGGTATGCCATGCCCACTGGATAGCAGTCATACAGCATCCGACGCCTATGGCCTATGGAAGACACAAATACACAGCGCAAGAGAGAGAGAGAGAGAGGTAGCCATGGCAACCTAGAAGCAATGGCCTCCAACCTAATAGCGATAGCCTCCATCCTAATAGAGAGAGAGAGAGAGAGAGACGTAAGAGAAGCAAACATTTTCGCCTGGAAAGGATCTGGGACGGGGGACAGGTTTCACTTGCCTGAAGCCATCACCGACGCCGACCCGCGGATGCACCCGCTGATGCCCTTGACTTACACAACCTGCACCACCTGTCTGAAAGCTGACCCATTTTTTGCGTCCTGAGTTTGGACGACAGCTTTGGTTTGACACATGTCACCATACCCCTCACCCATGCAGTGACTCAACATTGCTACTGGCGCTCATTTTCGCGTGATCTTGCCATGATGTCGACAGGGAAGATCTACATCTGCTGCAGATGGCACAGAGGCCCATGCTGGGCGCGCACAAATCCGCCACTTCATTTGGCAATGCACTTCTTTAAAAAAAAGTTCATGCCTTCGCATTTCTACTCCTGCAGCTTCTGAAGGACAAGCCGAAAAAAGCAAAGAGGAAGCAGGCCGAAGAGGAGGAAGAAGAGGAGGATGAAGAGGCTCAATCATTCCACCATGTGGTTGAATGTGGAATATCAAGCAAACACTCTACGATCAACAAGGCAGTTGAGTGGCACGCTTTGTTTAAGGCTGCCAGAAAGGCAAAGAAGAAGGCGAAGAAAAAGCAGGTTCCGAGCCAGCTACAAAGCAAGCTGTGGATTATGTTGGGCGCGCTTTGAATTGAACCCCTGTGCAGGAACTTGTTACTGGCGACAGCCCAACATTTTTTTGAAACACCTTGGCGGTTGAAAGGTGGAGGAGGAAGAGGAGGAGGAAGAGTGAGGAAGGGGTGGAACTGAAGAGAAGTCATGAAAGAAAGACCGATACAGCATGGCTGTGCGGCTACGGTCCCATGTGCGGAAGTGACCTGTGTAAATGTGACACCATAGCCCCATGGCTGAACAAAGAAGCTACAGTACTGTACTAGTAACAAAGGGCATCGCTACTAGGAGCAAGGGCGCTACTAGTAGCTCCTGGCCTTACTACTAGTAACCAGAAGCTACTAGGTTGGAGGCCATCGCTATTAGAAACAAAGAATATACCATGTCATGTCAGACATCCCACCTCGGTTCCCAAAGCCGAAGAGTTTCACCCAGCTCGGTGAATGCCGGAGCACCCGTGCCTCTCACCAGAAAAGTTGACCGCGGTTGACCAACTACTGTCATGTTTGGTGTCGGGTGGCGGTCGTGGCTGCGTCTGGGAACTGCAGGGTGGCGGACAAGCGTGCTGTCAACTTGCCCTTCCGATGTTTGCTGTCGCCATCGCCATCCGTTTGAGACAGAGACAGAGAGAGGTCAAAGGATCGGTCAATGTGTATTTGAGACTGCTCAATGCCTATGTGATGGCACTCTGTCCAGGCTATGGTATCGGTCTCACAGCCTCTTGTTAAGGCCTTTTGAAGCTCATGATCACCTTTAGCCAGGATCAATGGAACACGTAATGTGTCGGGCGATGTCTCTGTACACAAAAATCATCAAGGTTCTGAACCCTTTATGCCTCTCCCTGCCCTCCAACCAGAGGAGCTAAGCAGGCCATGCGTTCATCAGACTTTAAGCAATGCCACTTCTCATCACTTGGCTGTTCTCTGTTTTTAGTAGGTTGGAGGCCATTGCTATTAGGTTGGAGGCAATCGCTATGAAAAACAAAGACAAACGAAAAGGAAGAAGTTGAAGAAAGGAATTCCTCTTGATTCGTGTTTGATTCCTCTTGCAGTCGTGGAATTGGCCTCACCAACTTGGCGCCATGTCGGCCATGGAGGCAAGGCGCCAGCTGGCGGAGCGCAAGGCGGGCGGAGATCTGTGAGGATTTCGTGAGGATCATCGCCGTGGGTGGCACCGGGGCGAAATATGAAGAGAATAGACCTGGGAGGTCGACCTACTCGTACCAGGCTGCACTGACATGTGAGTTATTGTATATGTGGCGATGTGTGGTTTGTCATGTGGATCATGAACTTCCGAAGCTCCTCTTACTTCCCCTTAGTCGAGGCGAAGGCAGCGGCTGAAGTGGAGGAGGCTGGGTGATGGGGATGGCTCTGGTCGCAGGCCACTTGGTGTTGACGTCCAAAATCATTTGTCTATGGTTCTCTAAACTTTGCTTGGAATTGGTCTCAAGAATCAGAGTGCCAGGTGTGGTCATGTCACACGGAGAAACTCCTTTGGGGATGGTGGGACCACCAGGCATCGTGCTCGTACGAAGGTATTTACACATTTGCGGCACGCGCTGGGTGGATTTCTTGTGCTTGCTGAGAATGAACACACTTCGAACTTGGATTGTCAGTTAACGCAATTTCCCAAGG